TGGAATTTAAAAATCTGAATTTTATTGAATCTTGGTGCAGAAATCTGTGGATTAAATTCTTAAAAAATAAAAGTTTCTATACAGAGATGATTATTTCTCATTTTGGTGAATATGGAGACAAATAGCAGAATAATGTCAGTGGTATAAATTCACCTCTGTAACAGAATCACCAAAAACATGTTTATTTCAGAACCATTGGTTTATTTAGTCCCATTTGTCTCAGAATGAATTTCATTGTAGTCTAACTGAAAATCAGCAAACTATAAAGGATGAAATCAAAAAACTCACCAGTATTCAATTTGGACCTGATTCATGGTTTTGCAGTTGTTTTGTGCAGAGCTGTAAACGTTCAGTCTGAGGCTGAGCTGCAAAATATGCAGTGTCACGATGGTGCTTGTCTTTTTTACACACCACACCCGGTGCACGGGAAAACCAGTCTGTCTGGTTCCTGCTGCGTGAGCCAATGTGTACTCACTATCTCTCACTATCTATCACCCTGTTTCTCTGCTGCTGTCTTTGTTGTTCTTGACTTAAGACGAAGACAAAATGATGCAAATCTCAAGCTCGTGTTCATATTGACAGACTATTCCATACTTCAGATGAGTTGTAATGATGAGAGGGGATCTACCTTCCACTGCAGCTTTACAGTCGGAGTGAGCGGGGTCACATTAATTCACAGGTGAGCCGTTTGGTTGGAGGAACATGAACAGGGGTGATTGTGCAGAGGAATGTGAGCGCTCTGATCAAACACCAGACCCCGCTGTCGCCTTCATGATCAAAATCCTTCCTCATATTTGAGAAGCAGCAAATGTTTCTTTTTTTTTTTTAGGTCACATATTGTAACAGATGTATTTTAAGACATGAATGATTGCTACAGCGTTTTTTTATTACATTTTATTTGTTTAAAATGATATCCAGTACAAAATGTATACAGTAATACCCTTATGTTTATCAGTTCCCCTGAATAAAATATTTGAATCTGTTCAGCTCATGCCAGATAACAGTATCTATAAGATACACTAGTTTGCTCATACAATAGTTGATGACAAAGATATAGCAATAGTACCTTTGTAACAATAAAAACTATCAGTAATATTTTGGTGGACACACTTTCAAAACAATAAAATTACATACAATGTTCTGTAAAAGTTGCATTGCAATCTGCCCATATTTTACAAGATTTTCAAATTCATGTATATTTTCATTAAGTAAGAGACAAAAATCTGTGATACAAGTGTTTACACATTTATAAAAATGATCTGATGGCAAACTAACTGCAGTGTTGCAGTGACTGAGAGTCAGCAGGCCGTCCTCTGAAGCTGCTGTAACAGAAGCACAATGCACTTGATTTGTTCTTTTTTTTTCCTCCTTTTCTTTAAAACACAGCAACTTCTCAAACATAATAAATATTAAATCTTCTGCAATGATATTGTACCTGTCGATATATCCAGTTTTTATATTATATATATATTTATATGTGTAAATGTGTACACAATGTTCCCCTGTGTGTATGTGCTACAAAACAAAGGTTTCAATGCTTGAATTGTGTGACACAGCATTTCGGTGGGAATAACAAAAACATGACACAGTCTGCATGCACTGGATTTCATGAAAACCCAGGTGTGGTTCTTCCAGTTGATAGGATGCTCATTTCTGCTCCTTGGCTTCGACTCATATCAAAATCGGAACAGTGCGGCCGCGTGATCGTTCATCCTCTCTCTCTCACTTTGAACTCATCACAGCATCAACCTCATTGATTGGCGGGACTCCTTGATGCCGGCCCCCGGGTTGGGAGGGTCTTCTTGTGGGAACGTCACCTTGTCTGGTGTGTACTCGTTCCTCTTCAGATCTGACCAACAAGAGGACAAGGAGAGTTAGATTAGGATTTTTTTATAAGCATTTTATTTAATAATATTTTGACCATATAAGGCCACAAACACAGATGGTTTTCTAGATTTGAGAACAAACTGTATCTGATCACAGTTGTGCAGATATCATGTGACTACACAGCAGCAGTGAAACCGCGCTCACCAGGAAGTTTGAGTTTGCGACAGCAGGAGTTGCAGTGGTGTTTTGCACGGAAGTTCCTAATGGCATCATCCCCCAGGTTGGCCGGTCCAAATATCATATCATATGATCTGCAGAGTCAAATAAGTTATTTAGTGCAGAACTGCTAAAAAACAGGTAGCTGGTAAATAATACATTAAAAAGGTGAGTGAATTATGTGAGAGATGTAGTAATACTCAGAATTATTATTTATATGGCAACTTTAAAAACACGGTTACAATGTGCTTTACAAATAAAGAAATGAATACAAACAACGGGGTAAAAGGGTAAAAATGCTGTAAATAAACTAAAATAAATTCAGAGAGGTCAGAATCAGGGCAAAGACTTTGTACAACATACCCCTTCTCACCGCTCTTTATGACCGAAGGATCTGTCAGAATCTCCCCAACACCTGGAGAGGAGCACAACAGGTACACATGCGGATGATCAAAAATATTACACAGACAGTTCATCAATACGTCTCTGCTGAGTGTAAATAAAGGCCACATTCACGTACAACCACGCAACTATGTGTTCATTTGATGCTACGTTTAAAACGTTTGTGAGCACCTAAAACTGAGAAGTTTGTAAACACTGTTGGGCCTGTTTTAGTTTGAAGAGGTGTGGTGTGGGCAGTCACCTGCATTTACTTCCTGGTTCCTAACAGCAATGACTCAGGCAAAATGATGTTTACGCTTCCTGTCAGTAAAAGTTCCACCTTAATATTGGTTCAAGGAAAGAAATCTGTCATCTTACTTTTCCCCATTGCTGTTTGTTATTCGTAGCATTTTCTTTAACAGAGCAACAAATCTACTTCCTGTTTACACCGGCAGACATACTGTACCTATGTGAAGGAGTTTTCAGGTGTGTTAGTATGGACAGGGATTATAATGGAGATAGAGCTAAAAGGCTCATGAGGACAGAGATAGTTTTGAGTGTGGATGAAGCCGAGTGCTGAGTGCAGTAGACTGAAGGATAACATTATCACTTCAACATCACAATGATTTAAATAAGCAACAAAACCTCTGTTTCACTCATCTTCACACAATAATAATAAAAATCTTCAAGATCCCATCAAGAGCTTTTACCCTGCAGGTCGAGCACCAGCAGCTCTCCACGGGTGTACTCGTAGGTCCAGTGGCTAAAGGCCAGCATGGTCTCCTCCAGGAGGTTGGTGGGGACAATCTCATCCCCGTTGTTGTTGTTGAACTTCCTGAACTCTCCGGTGATGCACTCTTCTATAGCAAACCATTGTCCAGCAGAGTGACAGTAGAGCAGAAACACCTCCAGAAACCTGAACACACACACATACACACGCACATGCACACACACAACTCTAATTTCAGGATTCAGCAGCAAGAGCAGACAATAAACACCTCTACCCATGTGTGGAGTCAAGTAATGATTCGTTCAAATCAAAATTAAAACATGAAAGATGGTAATGACAACAAATCATGATAACTGTGTGTGTGTGTGTGTGTGTGTGTGTGTGTGTGTGTGTGTGTG